CAAAAAACAGGATGTATCAAAAATACACTCGGGGATTTTCTTACTTGTCCCAGCAGATAGGAAACAAAACGAGACACTGGCCTTCTTCAGAAAACAACAGCGGTTTAGATTTAAGAATACACTCGCAGAAACCTGTCATTAATAGAGGTTTTCTGGGTTAGATCGAGTAAATATAAATGTGTCGGTAAACCCGCCACAGCCATCTACTATGGTTTGTCACGTAAACAAAACGTACCAACTCGTTACTAGTTCAGCAAAGGCCGGTGTGTTGGAGAGTAAACCCACAACAACGTTTACAATTCGAGTCCTGTGACGTTTCGCAGGCAATGACAACAACCAGGATCATCAGGCGACAGCCAGAGTTGTGGAGAAATCCTCCTCCTGTTTCGATCTTCAATAGAGGGATAAATGTGATGTCTTCATTTGTAAGCCAATCATGTGTGAGGACCACATGGGGGGGGGATCTGTCTCCACATATAGATGCAGTATTGTACGTAAAACGAAATCTTCAGTCCATCACTCTTAATTGGCTTTCCAAATCGATGTTGTATGGCGGCATTTAATCAAAGCAAGCAACTTCTGGATAAGATTCGACCTTCGGGGGTCTCATCAGAAGCGTCAAGGCTTGTTCTTCGAATGCCACTTGGCTACCCGACGCTGTTGGCCAGAACATTCGTCTAAAACCGGTCAAGAGTTACTTGCTTCAGCAGATTCTGCTGGATAGTATTGCTTTGGAAGGCCAATTGGAGTGATGGACTACAACTTGTTGTTGTTATTGTTGCTTTAGTGTGTTGTGTACGTGCAGACACGTGGTATATCCGGTTAAAATATATTTTACCCACAATGCTTCGCAGCAGGGCCGAATGGGTTTAGGTTTACAGTGAGAGACTTGGAGATAGTGAAGATGTAGGAAAGTGTGGGTTGTTAATAAGTTACTGGGATAGGCGGTGCGGGGGAGATTATAGTGGAGGATCATGTGAGTGGGCAGTGGAATGCATCAGAATGTTTATTTAGACTGGATGAGGAATCCGATGAGCCATGAAGCTCTTTTTCACAGTAGGGGCGAGTCAGCAAGTTACAACAACAGACACCGAAAAAAAATCTGGCTGATACGAACAGAAATGGCAGGGCAGTAGATTCAATAATAATGAGAATAATAAACAATTTTCGACGTGTGAGACGCTGCAACAGTTTCACTCGCTCTCGAAGAGAGAGCACGGGGTGACTAATAAATTCTGAATTGGTGTGTAATAAGGAAGGCACTGATAAGGAGTTGACAGGTATGTATACGCGTACACGGATTGGAAGCGTTGCCAACTCGCGATGACGTAACAAAGTGTATCAGGGAACAATGTGTATCTCGTGTTTGTTCCTATGGGAGGATCCTGGATCTCATCCACTGGGCAAAATTACGAAACGTGGCTGCGCTTGATATCAATCCGCTTGGCGCGCTCTCAATTTAGCCACACAATTTACACGGACAATTCTGCATTCGCGTTCTTCAATGTGCCGTCCTCCAGCCAAATACGATGCCATCCTCTCGTCGTCGAGGTCAATTCGAACCTATTCGGATATGTTTAACACGCTGAAGGAAGCTTTCGCAACCAATATTATACTTCATGGGACCTCCTTTGCCAGTACCAACATATGATAATAGGTTTTCCCCTTTTTTCTGGCAACAAAACAGGTGTTAAGATGTTAAAACACCAAACTGAAACCTTTTACAAGGAATCATGTCTGGTGTGGACCAATCAGTTTCAAGGACAATGCATATATAATCAGAGTATGTTTTTGTGTGCATTCTGACCACAAGCATTGTGGTTAATGCAGACATGATTCCTTGTAAAAGGTTTCAGTTTGGTGTTTTAACATCTTAACAGCTGTTTAGTTGCCAGAAAAAAGGGGAAAAACCTATTATAATATTATACTTAATTATACATAACCAAGAGGTTTTTTTTTGGATTAGATCGCTTAAATACAAATGCGTCGTTGAACCCGCCACCACACGACACAGCCAATTCGTAAAGTTTGTCACGTAAACAAAACGTGCCAATTAGGTACTAGATCAGCACACCAGCGTGTTGGAGAGTAATCCCACAACATTTACAATTACAGTCGATTACAACAACCACAATCAGCATCATCAGGCGATTAGCCAGCGTTGTGAAAGGAGTCTTCCCTCTTTCGGCCTATTCGGGTATACTGTAGTGGCCTGCAAGCTATCCCCGTGTTGACCACAGAGGGTGACATCTCTTGTCCAGAGCGCAGTGGTTGCTGATGGGACATGTACAGCCCTTTTTCAATTCACTGCCGAATGTTATTTCACCATACTTCACGACACCTGTAGTTTGTGCCAGTGTAGTGGGGAGCATAGACGTACAGGAGTACAATGAATCTTTCTGCACGGTCCTCTACTGCCCACCCCTACCACAGTAGCCTAGACCAGGGGTCGGTAGCCTGCGACTGGAGCCGCATGCGGATCTTTTGAGAAGGGACAGTGATTGCTGCTTCGTGACACTTATTAAAGGACCCACCACCGTCTCAGGCATTCACCGCAGTGGCATTGCGGATTCTCGAAATATTGAGTTGTTCTTTTTTTTCCTTGTCGTTACCAAATTCTAATCAAAATGGCTCTTATTGTGATTTTTCGTTGCCGCCACTCTGACCCATACCAACCCGTTACCATCCCAGCAAGCCCTTGCCCGGGCTACGACCTGCTTTAGCCTCCGAGACGTGACAACACCGTGCGCGTTGCAACGGGCGATTCTCGTTCGCAGAGGCGGCTGCGATCCACGACCTTGCAACATAATTCACCCCGATGCCTGTAAGAGGTCAAAATTCATCATTCTCCTTTTCCACAAACCTGACGATGCCTGTAGTCGGGTGTAGTGGCACGTCTTGTGCTCAAGTGCTTCAGGAGGCAATGATTGGTGTGACCCCCCCCCCTTCTATAGAGAGAGCATTTGGACCAGCTATTCCACGCTGTTCAGACGTCTTGGAAGAGGTGGGACTACCCCCCCCCCAAACTTTGCCCCCCACTGCACGCGACCTGCCGATGGACCCGGCTGCGGTGTACCCTCATACTGCTGCTGGGTTTGGGTCAAAAGATTTTTTATTTTACAAAAAAAAATTTGCCCCATTTTTCTTCAAGTGCCACGCTAGGTCCAGCTTGCCAAAACCCATAACAGCCGTAGCAGCAAACCCTACACACGCGCGGCGTAACCCCCCCCCGCCGCCGCCTGCCATTCAAACGCCTGAAGCCAGCATTTCACACGGATTATACACCGATAATAATGCGCTACCAGTGCACGCCGCCGTATCGGACAGCCAACTCCAAAATCAACAACAAACACACACACACTAAAAACGAGCTGGCAACAGATCGAATGCACGTCCATCGTGGCTGATACAGCCTCCGTGGATGCCAATAAATGTGACCACTCAAAAGTTGCTGCTCCAGTACGTCCAAGTCCCCCGGTGCCCACCCAGACCTTTGCCGTGGTCCATGTTTTTTTCTTCTCATTGCAAGCCAACGCCTTTCTTTTATCCCGAGCTGCTGGGACATTCGTCACACGCCAAGAGCTTCGGTGCAGCAGCGGTGCGCTCCAACGCACGCTTACGCTCCGCCGCACCTCCGATTGACACAGTTGAGCTACGTACGGCGCGAAAGAAGTTCAACATACAGTACATACATGGGGGGGGGGCGGGGAAAATCACACTGTATGCCCCCTATCCCCACCTCCCAAGCCGAGATGCCTGAAAACTGAAACGGGAGTATTACATTTCACACCATGACGACGTCGTGGCGCGGAGCTAACCCCCACACCCAAAGCACGGGGCCCGGGGCGGTCGCCCAGATTCGCCGTGTACCCTCGGGACGGCTCTGACCACCCACACTCATCTTAACGTCGCTTCACTCCAAGCCTTCGCTCCAGGCCACCCCAACGACGTTCTAGTTCCTCTATTCTATGACAATGGTAATGATATGACCTCCCCCCTCGCCCTCCCAGCTGGTCCCCTACCCACCCCACCCAGCCCTTCACCTCCAGCCCCCATCATGCCACTTAATCCTCGAGAGACAATCGAGGCACCGGCTGCACAGAACCACAACGTGTCGGGATGTCTCTCCGACCAAATCCCAAGGCGGCTCAATCTCTATTTTATTATACTGGAGGGATCCAATGAGCTCTGAAGCTCTTTTTTCCACAGACGTCTCGAGTGTCCGATGTGGCGTTGCGTGACAACGCCATCAGCCTACAGGAGGCTACTGCGTCCTTTTATTAGACATGTCACCTGCACGGTATCCACGCTGCAGCCTACACAACCCCAGGAACGCTTTTGCAAACTGTGGCATCCGACGACCATGATGGATGATACAGCAATGGATAGACAGTGTCTTGCTGGTGATGATTTTGAACCGAGACCCTTTTAGAGTCTACGCCTCTGACGTTCTTCAGTCAATAGCAATAAGAGCCAATTCATCTTTAAGTCAACGGCGATGTTAAGCCCGTGGCTCTAAGACTTCCGCTGCTGATAGCTATCCCGACTCGTTCAAAGCCACCACTCTAGATTGTGGCAAACCGGGGTGTCATCGTACCTGAAAAGATCTTAAAATTAAGCCACAAGCGACATTCTTTCTGAGCAAGGCTCTACAGACTGGATGGGGGGGGGGGGTCCCGATATCCACGTCTTAAAAGCTACTGCGAAACTCATCGAGACAAATTAGTCTCGTGGTCGCCCAACCTCTCGACCCTGCGAAGTCACTAAACAACACCATCATGAATGAAGCCATCCTTCACTGCGTCCCATTCGAGCCTTCATCACAAAGGCGCACCAGTCGTCGTGTCAATTCGAAGGCAATGCGATCTTAACTCGAAGCTCCAAACATCCCAGGGACAGGCGAGAGAAAGCCCTACGGAGCTCACCATCCCGGCATGCCGTTCGCCACTGCGAGCGGCGAACGCATTCCTCTCGGTGGCAAATCCGCGTTGTCGTCGTACCTGTTGGGAGTATGGAGGCCTCGTGAGTTGGATGCCATCCCGCAGTAACTTATCCCGGATCATGATCTTCAGCTTGAGCTTCGGGTAGGTAATCCTCTCCCCATGAGTCCCAGCCTCCACCACCAACACCTCCTCGCCCCCACCACCATCATCATCGTCGTCATCGTTCCCCACCGAGCTATGCCTTGAATTCTCCTCGTAACCATAAGCTCCGTAAGCCAACGCATCCTCATGCTGCTGCTTGCACAACACGGGGTGGCCCTGCTCCACACAATAGCCAAGCGGGTTGCCCCGAAGGCAATTCCCCGTATCAGGTGATCCGTGCAGGAGGAGGCGTTGATATTGATATTGCTGCTGCTGCTGATAATGCTGCTGCTGCTGCTGATGAAGGACATACTGACGGTGTCTCTCCGTGCCCGCGTGACTATGCAGCAGGCAACGCATGTCCACCCGTGCACCTCCAGCCGCTACCGCTCGCTGGACGCAACCAGCACGAGCAGCAGCAGCAGCCGCAGCAGCAGCAGCCGCGTGAGGAGGTTCCAGCGTGAAGTAGACGGCCGTGCCCCCGTCCTGCCGCAGCCTCGCCACCGCCGCGCGCAGCTTGCGGCGGTGCCTCCGCTCCAGAACGCCGATGGCGTCCAGGTCGGCGTCTCCGATCTGCTTGCAGATCTCCAGGTCGTCGTAGCCATTGTCCAGGAACGAGTCGGCGTACTGGCCCAGGCGAAGGGCTTTGAGCCACTCGCCCACGATGCTGTTGCAGCCGCCGCTGCCGCAGCTGTTGATGGCGCTGACGATGTTGCCGCCGCCGCTGTTGCCGCTGCTGGATGAATTAGCCATGCGTGCGAGCTGATCGGAGGCGCTCATCGATGAGACGAGTGGCACGGCAGATTGCGGTGGTGGTGGTGGCGGCGGTGGCAGCAGGAGCGACGGAGTAGCGAGCGGCGCAAGCGATACATTTATTCTCACAACAATGGGAACAAAAATAAGAAGAGGAGGAGGATGGTGGTGGTGGTGATGATGATGATGTGTGCTGTGTGTGTGTGTGGCGAGATGTCTGACGGCTACCGCACGTTGTCTATTCCGCAGCGAGGCGGTGGTGATGCTGGCTGTGTGGTGGTTATGCTGCGAGGAGGCATGGTATGTGACGCTCCGTGTTGAGTGCCCGCTCCGTGTGTTAGCGCTTCGCTCTTCACAGCTACCTCCCCCTCCGCCCTCCCTCCCGCTCTCCTTCACCCTCCCTCCCTCTCTCACACTCTCACTTCAAGACACGCGCAGACAAACATCACCCGTGTAGCCTTAACCGACTGTCGGGTGCAAATGCTGCTAGCGAGCGCCTGTGAATGGGTTGGATGAACAACACGACGCCCGGCCGCCTTTGTCTCCCCACACTGGCGATGTTCATACACCGCACCGGCTACTTATTTGAGGCTGAGTAGACCTAGGGGAAGGCCCAGGACCGGTTCAGATAATCGTTACCGTTAGGCGTTGGCCGTGAGCTGGGATTAAACACGGGCACACGCGAGTCTCAGAGCGTGGAACCAGCAGTGTGACAAACGCATAGCAGCACTGACAGCATCACAAAGACAAAGATCCCCCGTATAGCCTAAAACAGACTTGTGGAGCAAGGGCTGTTAGCGAGCGCCTGTGAAAGGCCGGCACGGCACACGAGGGGGTGGGGGTGGATAGCACCAAGCCCGGCGGCCTTTGTCCCCCGAGTGGCGATGTTCACAGATCGCATCGGGAACTAATTTAAGGCAAGAGTCGACCTAGGGGAGACTCGGTACACGTGCAGATAATCGTCACTGGTGTTAGCCGTGAGTGGGACTCGGGTCGCCGGCTAACCATGACACTACCGCTGTCCAGGCAGTCCACATCCACACGCCGCTAGCTCTACAGATGCACATCTACTCACAGTAGACTACTGGCTGCTGCTATTCGCATCAATGGCACTAGCGATGCATATACATTGTACTCGACACGTCATCATTAGCATTGATCAATCCACTGCTGGATGGATGCCTCCCCAAGTTGTCGCCACCTCCCACGATCTAACAAAGCTATCCGGCACCGCTCCATCACCTCCTCGGTTGCCATGCAAAGACAAAGATCCCCCGTGTAGCCTTAACATACGTTTAGGGCAAGTGCTGTTATCGAGCACCTATGAAGGTCGGCACGGCATACGAGGGAGGTTGGGTGACCAGCACAACGCCCGACCGCCTTTGTTTCCCCACCGCACCAGGTACTCTTTTGAGGTTGAGTCGATCTAGGAGCGGATCACTGGCGTTGGTCGTGAGCGGGAATCGAACTCGAGTCTCCGGGTTCGAATCGCAGCGCGCTAATCACTACGCCACCGATCCCCCACACTGCCATACACAACACGGTTTACAAACACATATACTGCCAGATATGCATGCATGTTCGTTGCTATAACATTATTGATTAGCTTACAAGTTATATGCGTGTATTCTGGCTGTACTAATCACACGTACTGCAACTCTGTTATGATCTGGCTGCATTACCAATTCAGCGAGCGCTGCATTGCATAAAACAAGTGGCGTTGATAATGATGGGCAAGATCCCATCCCACGTGCGGAGGAGGGAGCGGTGGTGCAACGCGTGTTAGCGCAGCTGTGCACGAGCCCCGGCCGCCCGAGTTCGATTCCGGCTCACGGCCAACATCGGTGACGAAAATCTGAACAGGTCCTGGGGCGGGGTGGAGCTTCCTTCCCTCGGTGGGACTCATCCTTGGCGCGGTGTGAAAACAACAGGCACTGGGGAAATAAAAGCGGCCGGGAGTGGTGTTGGTCACGCCGTGGTTTTTATGGGGGGGGGGGGGGGGGTGGAGAGTGGCGGTCTTTGTCCATGCTGGTCTCACGCACAACAACAATGCATCCCAACATCAGAGTTGTTATTGAGGAAGAACGGCTCTGGCGACAGATAACTCTTTGTGGATTTGGCCCAAGAGGTTGCACATTGACCTGTATCGCCACCGCGTGGCCACAGCCGGGAGGTTGCAGGCGACGCCTCGCTGACATGGTTATCCACTGCTGGATGAAGCCCATCCACTACCGTTCTCACCGTGCGCAGTTGGACTGTATTCTCAGACGCGTCACAATTCATCGGTTGCCAATGCGAATTTAGAATCACTGTATTTATCCCAGAGAAATCCGATGAGCTATGAAGCATATTCTGGCCGTGACGTGCCCTGCCCATACCCAACTTACGTTCTCTATGACGTCGTTACGATGGCACGTGTTCAGTTATTTTCATTTAGCTACCACGTGCCCGCCGGATTTGAGAAAGTTGAACAATTGGCAATTGTTGAAACTTGCTGAAGAATTGTTGAACAGTTGGTAATTGCAGTGCGATGGCGTGATGCGATTATATCACAGAACGTGTCTCCCCGCTCGAGGGCGAGTGGTGTAGTTCGAAGCGAGTGGTGGAAATTCCACATTCCTATGGTGGGGGATAGTAGTCTCATGACTTGATTTCCCGCAAAATGGTACTAATCACCGAGAGCCGTAGTCAACTACATAATCCAATAGCAGATGTTGTGGTTGTTTTGTGGACATCCAATAGCAGTATAAGCATATGGTTTACCCTTTTCTGGCAGTAAACCAGGCATTAAGATGTTAAAACACAAAACAAAAAGGAATCATGTCTGCATTAACCACACACAGTACTTGTGGTGAACATCCAAACAAAACAAACATGCTCTGGTAGTATATGCATTGTCTTTGAAATTGTTTTGAATTTTAACATCTTAACACCTACATTTTGATTTAAAGCTTTCGTGACTGCAGGGATTCATATTATTGGTTCTTTCGGTAAAGTCATGTAGAAGGGAAACAATAAAATAATACAAATATAAAACAATAAAATTATCACGACGTTTCGACTGCAACACAAGCAATCATCATCAGGTGTGAAAACCACAGCAAGAAAAATGTCCACAGCAAGAAAATTTTCCACCTGATGATGATTGCTTGTGTTGCAGTCGAAACGTCGTGAGAATTGTATTGTTTTATATTTGTATTATTTTATTGTTTCCCTTCTACGTGACTTTACCGAAAGAACCAAGAATATCTTAACACCTGTTTAATTGCCAGAAAGGGTGAAACCTATTCTTATATTTTGATACTGGCAAGAGAGGTCCCATGATCCAATAGCAGCCACAGATACAGGATAATCTTGTAACGAACGCACTGATTGGTTCTCTTACAATGTACAAACCGCACGGTGGCCTAAGTCAACGCCCTCAAGTCTCAGTTCAAAAGGCGATGGTCCTGCGGTCGATGCGAGCTTCAGGAAGCTCAGCAGGGTATTTGGTTTATTCTTCCACGCTGATCAGACTTGGCGTACCCACACTTTACCTCACCGCGCACGACCGGCTGATTGATACCACCGGGAGATGGAATGCAAGTGAAATGCAGTAGTAGAGATTTTTTTGGGGGGGCTAGGTCGCGTAAATATAAATGTGTCGTTGAACCCGCCACCACCCGGCACAGCCAATCAGTGAGGTTCGTCACGTAAACAAAAGGTGTCAATTCCTTACTAGTACAGTACGCCGGTGTGTTGGGAGAGAAAATCCACTACATATAATTTAATTTAGCAATACTCTGATTTACGCCTGCCCCTTTTAAGTCGTTTCGCAAATATGTCGTCACTTTATTAATACCACCACATGAGTTGCACTGATAGCATTGTCGTCCGCCCAATTTCGTTATCGTCGCCTCCACCACCACCCACCACCACTACAACTACCCCATAATACTGGTAGGAACGAAGTTGTAAACTGAGTGTACCAGCCTGCAATAGATTAATGTGTCCGTCCGTCCCCTTTCAATACTTTAACGAAGTAAAATCTCGTGCTGTTGGGTGTATAAAATCAGCAATAGACAGCGCAGAGACTTGTCCTACCAGCCCACCCTGCAGGGACCTGTTTACGTCGTTTCGATATTCGCCGTCGCGCATTTCAGGAACGCATCGCCCCCCGACGTAAACCGGGGTGCTGTATCACCGCATTACAAAACGAAACCGTGACCTCCGCGATCGCCGCGCGCCCGTCTCGCGAGCTGGCACAACTAAGCCTCGAAACGCACTACCACGCGTTCGCGCAACTCTAGCAAGCTGCGTGAGGAGGGGTGGGCAGACCCGTCAACCCCTTATCAGTGCCCTACATTATTAGACAGTAATTGAGATCGTATTGGTCACCTCGTGCCCCTTATAAATCTCAACGTTCATTCCGCAGAGTCCCATCACAAGGGAGAAATACAACCAAATATAACAAAATTTGCCTGTATTGAAACGGCTGTACGCCGTATGGACCCGAAAACTCAATTTCCCTGCACAAGAATACGGAGTACACCGTGTGGGTTGACAGCTATGGGTGATTGCGTGCAGCAGAATGTGCAGCAGCAGCAGCAGGAGGGTGATCGCACGAATCCGTGGCCTGGTGCAGAAACGCGGTGTCAGATCTTGGCGAGGTGAAGGTGCAGCCTCAGCAATCCAGCACCGGTGGAGACAGCAGCGAGGGTTGGCGGATTGCAACCAATGTTGCAGAACTCTCTTCTCGCGCCATCACCCCGCTGGCTCCCCCACAACGAGGATGCGGCAGGGCGACGTGTGGGTTCATGTCATCAGCGGCCCCTTCTGCATGGGGATGAAGTGTTGCCTCGTCGCACGCGTGGGGTTTCTCCAGGTGCTACGGTTTCCTCCGACGTGTAGGGAAAAAAAAAACCACTCGTTTATTGGCTGGGAAAAAAACCCCATCTTAATGTATAGAGAACCGCAGAGCGCTGGGCAATTTACTGGCGCCAGCTCACCGCCCGGTTTGCTGCCTTACGGATTGGTCTGTGGCTCCTCAGCGATGGCGAGAGGTGCAATTTGCATGAATGACGACGTTCATTTATCAACCCAAACCACATTTTTATGACCTGCTTAAGCCATGACTTGTGGAATTGGACCTCCACTCGAGGCAACGAGAGAGAGAGCCTTTCTCTGGGGGGTATTTGGCCTACTATTACACACCTTTCTCGGAACAGACGACAATTCCACGCAAGTACAAAGTGTAGGCTCCCCCACTTAACGGACTGGCTTAGCCGGCCGTGTTGACGCAGTAATTAAGCTTCACAAACCGCGCATTAGCCTGCCTCTCGCCCCCCCCCCCCAATTCCCATCCCTCGTGCGATCTGCCGCGCACACT